ACGGCGAGGGCGATGTCGGCGGGGGGGCGACTGACAACGGCGACGGCTTCTTCTTCCTCACAGGTGGCGCCGTCAGCACCGCCGCCTGCCTCAACGGCGCGAGCCCTGGGCCCGCACGCGAGCCCGACCCGAAGGGGCGCCGGCCCACGCCCACGCCTCCCCCGAACCTTGCGCGCGCCTCCGCGACGGACGGGAGGTCCACACGCGAGCCAAACGTCGGCGTCCCGCAGCGGCTGCTGGCGCGCTCCACGATGTCCATCTCGCCGCCGTCCCCGCGCCCGCTGGCGCCCAATCCAGCATCGAAGAACGCGGACCCGCTCCCCGCACGCGCACGCCGCTGCGGCGGGACGGGCACCGCGACGGGCACAGCAACAATATGCCCGAACAGCGAGCCCGGCGCCTTGGTAACGCGCACGACCTTCCACCCCGCGGACAGCGCGAGCGCGACGATCTCGCGCAGCGTGCGTTCCTGCCCGTTGAATGTTACTTGCATCTGCATACCCACACCCGCCGCGTCAGCACCCACGAACCGGAACGAATGGAGGTAAGGGACGCACGGTAAGGTCCATCCAATACGCGTTCGCGCTCGCCTTGCCGAGGTTCGCGAGCAGCGGCGCGGGCGCGAGCATCGTCTCAGCGCCCTCCACCTGCGGCTCCCTCTCCTCTCTCTCCTTCTCTCGCCCCTTCTCACACCCCCACTCCTCCTTGTCCTTGGTGCCGCCCGTATTCGTATTCACACCCCCCCCGCCCCCGCCGACGCCAAAATCATCCACACACGCGAGCGGGAGCACAAAGTCCGCAAGGACGAGCCGCGTGTGCGGCGCGGCCGCCTCGCGCAGGCGCAGCAGGATGCGCTGCGCGAACGCGTCGGGCCAGTCGTGCAGCACCACGCGCAGGAGGAAAACCGCCGCGTCCGCGACCGGCTGCGGCGTGAAGAAGTCGTGGACTGTCAGGGTGCGCCCGTCAGCATCCTTCGTGTAATAGGGGAAGGGAAAGGGACGAGGGGATGGGAAGACCCACCCTGGAACCTCACCGCCCCCGAGTCAAGCAGCTCCGGGCACTTCGCGCGCCACGCCTACCATACACACACCTCCGTCAGCCCTTTCCTCTTATTCACAAACCGACCCAACGCAAGATGCACGCACCTTCTCCCCCATCTCAACCACCACCGGCCGATCCTGGATCACGAACCGCAGCCCGCCCCCGGCCCCACCTCCACCTGGCACCTCCATCAGCCTCGGATAACACGCAACACGAGTAGGAGGAGGGAGAAGACAGACTTACCCTCCGTCTCGTCCGCATACGCGCTCGCGAGCAGCATACTCGTCGAGCCAATCCCGCCGCCGACGTCCACCACGATGCTCCCGCGCGGGAGCGCGCCCCAGTCGAAGCCTACGCGTCATCATCCCACCCTTATTAGTCCGCAGATCGTGTACATCAGATGGAACGCAGAAAAGGCGCACCGTGCAGCACCGCCCCGGGCGCCTCCCAGCTGCCCGTCCCCGCCATCGCCTTCCCGAAGCGCTCCAGCCGGAAGCGGTTCGGGTTTGGGTTTGAGTTCGCGCTCGACTTGTCGTTCGCCTTTCCTTGTCCGTGTGCGTTTCTTCCTCCGTGCACCGCGGCGCCCCCGCCCCCGCTTCCTCCGCCTCCGCTTCCTGTATATACCGGAGCAGAACCCGCGCCCCACCCCTCTCCCTCAAGCCACCCGAAATAGCCCACGCCCCCGCACCCAAACGCGTAGTTGAACGGGGCGTGCGTCGGGTCGCTCCCCGCGCCGTTGTTTGGGGTGGACGCAGCGCCGTTCATCGCGCCCGTGTTGGAGTTCGGGGCCGACGCATTCCGCATACTCGCGGGCCCACTAGGCGTGAGCCGCGGGTACACGCGCGCGGCGCCGGAGAAGACCGCCTCGGTCAGGTACGCGCTCGACTTGCACAGCTCGTCGGTGCTGTGTTACAAAAACAATGTCAGTATTATTATAACATATGAGGGCTGCACCGCGGAAACCAAGACAAGGCGCGTAGAAAGGTCGTGAAAAGATCAATATATATATGCGATATATGCGCCGAAATCGGCAGATATATGCGCAATAGACGTGCCAGGATTTGACCAGCGCTGACGGCCCGCGCACCGGCGTACAAAGGCGGGTATATGCGCGCCAACCGCGACGTAGAGGCACAAACACCCGAAACAGGTGGGTCTATGCGCCCAAATAGACGGATATATGCGCTGCGCAATAGCCGTCCCGGAAGCCCGCCACAGCGCAAAAAAAGGTGAATATATGCGCAAGCAGACCTCCCACCATTCGGCCACGAGCTAGACCCGCGTCGTAAGCAACGCGCCGAAGCGCAAAAGACGGGTATATGCGCCCAGATAGAGATGTATCGGAAACCCGATGCCAAAAAAAGAAGAGAAAGAAACCCACCAAAGCCCGACAAAGGCCGCGACGCCGCTCGTGTCATCGTCGTACTTGCGCTCCGGGCTGCCAATACAAAAAAAATTGGTCAGGCCTTGTTTCATCAAGAAAATCAAGGAAGGAAAGGGAACAAAAACAAAAACGAAAGAAAAGGAAAGTGAATCGACGCTAACCGAGACGATATGTAGATGGAATGGAATGAGAAAGGAACCCGTGGCAGTAAGAATAGAAAAAAAACGAGTGTCTCGAATTTGGACCATCGGCATTACCGAATACCGAATAAACTCGTACACTTGTAAACCAGCAAGTGGAAAACTGAAGAATAAAACGGAGAACCCGAGAGCCGAGGCCGATAAGGCCGCACTCGACGTCGCGAAGCGTCTTCCCGACACGTCAGGACTTCTTTTTGACGCTGACGCACAAAGGGAAAGAAGCCGCCGAAAGAGGAAGATCGGAAGGGAGCGCGTAAAGGAAGCAAGCGATGCGATGACGGGTGCCAGAAGGGAAAGGTAATCAGGGTGATGGGGGGGAGGCGAATGTGTCGCGTTGGGAGGAAATGGGCGAAGGTGGACGCGAAGGTGGCAGGATAGTAAACGCGAAAGCAGTGAAAGAAAACAGAAAAGAGAAGAACAAAGAGTGGAAGACATGGCAAGGCAGGAAAACGCACTGAGCGACGAGGGCGTGCAGCGGCTGGCCGGTGTCGATGAGCGAGCTGATGCGGTTAGTGGCAAAGACGTCGGGCGCAGCCTCGCGCAAGAGGTGGTGCGTCGCGAGCAGGCGGAGGATGTGTGCTGCAAAGGCGCATATATCGTCAGCACTGAGGCCAAAGACCAGAGTGGAAGGAAAGACGCACCGAGCTTCGCCTGCTCCACACCGGTGCGTGCAGCGATCTCGCGGACGTGTACGGGTCCATCGCGCAAGACCTCGGGGACGTGTGCGGCCTCGAGGAGGCGGAGGCAGCTCGGGAGGTGGTAGCCCATGCTCGCGTCGCAGAGGGAGAGGAACGGGACCTGCACGGTCGCGGCCATTTGGCCCGCCGCGGCGACGATGCGGTTGATTGCGGCGACGACGGTGGGGTGCGCGGTGAGCTGCTCGCTGGGCGCCGTGGGGTCGTAGGGCGCGTCGAGCGCGGGGAAGTCCAGGGGCACACTGGCCGCCGGAGACGATGACGAGGACGGCGAGGGCGGTGGGCTGGCGTACGCGCGCGAGAACGACGGCGCTTTCTTGTGCGACGGCGGGGCCGGCGTCGGGGTCGGGTCGGCCTGTGCATAGACTTGCTCGATGTCGTGGAGGGCGTCGCCGAGGATGGCGTGCAGCGCGCGCAGCACAGCGAAGGTCATGGCAGCAAACAGAGAGCAGCACCAGCCAGCCAACAATTATAATAAATATTATTTCCTGTTATCCATTTCGAGCACTGTCATCCCGATTCGATCCAGCTGACGCGTCTTCTGAAAGGCTTTCCTCGCGTACATGCCTCACCTTCCCCGACAGCACTCCCCGCGGGAGCGAACGGGCTCGCGATTCGTGCGCTTGCGCGTCGGCCATGAGAGCAGGGACCAGACCCGTATTTGGGCCTGTTGTACGGCACCCTTGGCGCCACCGCCACCGCCATTCAACTTCACGCAACCTCAAAGCACCGATTCCGACGTCGACGGGCCCTCACTTTGCATTTCGAGGTGTCTTCTCCACTAAACCGTTTTTATTTTCGGAATTGGACGGAAAATACGGCATTAAGCGTAAAATATGATGTCGAATGAACGCGTTGAAGTTGTTGAACGAACAGGGACGGGATTTTATTTCATTTTCAGCTTCCTTGACATCCACGAGAGGCGTCTATCCAAGAAATCTGACGCCGCAGAGCGTTGTCTTTCCAGCTGGCTCAATTTGTATCAACATTCTTCAATTTATCGTTTTAATTCTAACTCGTTCCTCGCGTCAACACAACTCGGAAAATGCCAGGAGCAGCTAACCGCGACGGAGCAATCTTGCCTTAGACTAACCCGTGCCTTTCATATTATAGACGGCCAAAAAAACTCGATACGTTCACCGTACGGCCCGAGCCTGGTTCGAACAGGCGTCTCCTGCTGGCTATTGCTTATACATGTATGACGACAGACAAGAAGCAGGTATGGACCATCCACCACCGAGCCTTTCATACTCTGGTTTGCAGTTTGATTTACCCTGCATTTCCTTGGCAATTCGAAGAGGCAAAAAGGGACTCAATTTCCACCTATGGCTCGGGCTTGAGTCGAACAGGCATCTCCTGCAGGCCAAAATATGCACTTGCGATAATGAGCAGGTGTGGACCATCCACCCCCAAGCCTTGCATACCCTGTTTGTAGTTCAATTTATCCTGCATTTCCTCGGCAGTTGAACCAGGAAAAAAATGGGTAGTCAAAATCCGCGGATGGCTCGGGCCTGGTTCGAACAGGCTCCTCTTGCTGGCTACTGGGCATACACATCAATGAATGAGAAGCAGGTGTGGACCATCCACCACCGAGCCTTTCATACTCTGATTCACACTTCAATTTACCCTGCATTTCCTCAATAGCTCTACAAGGGCAAAATAGTCAGATTCGATCCCCAACGGCTCGGGCCTGAATCGAACAGGCTCTTCCTGCGGGCACAAATGAAGATCCCCTACAAGAAGCAGGTGTGGACCATCCACCACCGAGCCTTTCTTACCCAGACTCACAGTTAAATTTACCCTGCATCTCCTTGGCAATTCTGAGAGAGATAAAAAAGGAGGCGCTATCTGCGAATGGCTCGGACCTGATTCGAACAGGCATCTCCTGCTGGCTAATGTTGGCAGAGCATTATTTCTTACAAGAAGCAGATGTGGACCATCCACCACCGAGCCTTCCCTACCCTGTTTCACAGTTCAATTCAAGCAACATTTTACAAGCAATTGAAAGAGGCAAAAATGTCGAATTTCCCCGCTAGTGGCTCAGGCCTGGTTCGAACAGGCATCTCCTGCTGACTTCGTTCTGCTAGCACTATAACGAGCAGGTGTTACCTTCCCCTGCTTAAAGTTCACTTTACCCCGCGTCTATCTTGTCGGCAGTTCAAGCAGTCAAAAAAAGGTTCCCTTTACGATGCATGGCTCGGGCCTGGTTCGAACAGGCTCCTGCTGCTGGCTAACATTTTTCACAATCACGTAAAGAGAGCAGACGTGGACCATCCACCACCGAGCCTCTTATACCCTAGTTCGCAGTTCAATTTATCCGTATCTCCTCAGCAATTCAAAAAGGTAAAGAAAATGGTCGCCTTCAACAAATGGCTCGGGCCTGATTCGAACAGGCATCTCCTGCTTGCTAAGATTTTTAATTGCTGTTCACATATAGAAAGTAGGCGTGAGCCATCCACCACCGAGCCTTGCTTACCCCTACTTATAGTTCCAGTTCAACAGGCCAAAAAAGGTTTCACATTTTACCCCAATGGCTCGGGCCTGGTTCGAACAGGCCCCTCCTGCTGGCTGCCCTTGACTGCACGTATAGGAAGCAGGTGCGAACCATCCACCACCGAGCCTTCTCTATCCCAGCTTACAGTTCAATTTATCCTGCATTTTCTCGACAGTTCAAGCAGTCAAAAAAAGGTTCCCTTTACGACACATGGCTCGTGCCTGATTCGAACAGGCTCCTCCTGCGGGCGAATATTATCGATTTGCAACGTCATAGGAAGCAGGTGTGGACCATCCACCACCGAGCCTTTCATACCCTGGTTTGCGGCTCAATTTATCCTGCATCTCTTCGGCAATTAGAGAGATAAAAAAGCAGATGCTATCTGCGAATGGCTCGGACCTGAGTCAAACAGGCTCCTGCTGCTGGCTAACATTTTTGTTCACAATCACGTAAAGAGAGCAGACATGGACCATCCACCACCGAGCCTTGCCTACCCCTGCTTACAGTTCAATTTATCCTGCATTTCCTCGACAGTTCAAAGAGGCAAAAATGGGTGACATCACCGAATGGCTCGGGCCTGAGTCGAACAGGCAGTTCCTGCTGGCTAATGCTGCCAGAATTATTTCAGGCAAGAAGCAGGTGTGGACCATCCACCACCGAGCCTTCCCTTCTCTGGTTGACGGTTCAATTTACCACAGCTGTTCGCAATTAAAGAATGTACAAGAAAATGATCACCATCAACAAATCGATAATGGCTCGGGCCTGATTCGAACAGGCTACTCCTGCTGGCTAACATTTTTCTCACGCACATAAAGAGAGCAGACATGAATCATCCACCACCGAGCCTTTCCTACCGGCAGAGCCCCGAACTTGCTCAGACTTTATCAAGTCAATTACGTCCCACTCAGTCCCTCAGCCAAAAATAACATGTGAACTGCAACGCGCCAAACCCAGGCGAAATACTAGACTTGTTACCCATGCCTACGGCAAAGTGCTTGCCACATTTTTGCCAATCATTGGCAGACTGGTAATGAATCTAGTGAAAAACTGCAAGCAAGCTATTGGCGGATGGAGTCGGTGCTCCCTAGTAGCTATACATGATCCAAATTACGGGCCCACCTCAAAGGACTCATCCTGCCATGTGGAGCAGTGGCCTTCAAGACCAAGTGACTACAAGCAACATGTTGTTGAAGTTGAGTTGTTGAAGCCAGCTGGAAATCGACCCCGAGATTAATGAGGGGCCATGCGGTTTTACCACGTATTGAATTCATAACTTCCCATCATTATTCAAATAAATAAATACATATTTCATGCAAGACTGTAGAACAAGGAGCTAGCTAAAAGGAAAAAGAGAAAAACTATAAAGGCTCTCCACTCAAACCAAAAGAGGAACAATTTCCTTGTCCTTAGCCTTCCCTCCTTCACTGCCCATCTCAGCAGCCTCTGTTCCTTTGTAAGTTTCCTCTGGTGCAGCTATGATGGGGGCATTGAGCTGTCCAAGACACATCAAACTGTCCGTGGTTTCTTCCAGTACATTGTTGGTGATTCTGGCAAGTTTTTCATTGACCTGGGTAACTTGTTGCACCTGGGATGAGTGCTGAAAGAGAGGTTTGGCCCATTTCCAAAGCTCGATTGCCTTCAACACGTCCCCCTGACCCTGTGCCAGATCACCGAGTCGAAGCATGCATTCTGCTCTGCTGTGATGAATATCCATCCATGTGAATCCCTCCAAAGCAACAGTACACAGGGCAGTTGAAGTTGCACTATCACCCTCAGCTTGAAATACATCTCCAAGGTACTGGATTGCTCGATGAAGGGCAATTTTGTCCCCCAATTTCTTTGCATATCCCAGATATACCACTGTCCATCTAGCAGCCCAGTTAAAATCACTTTCAGGCCAGTGACGGATGTTGGCAAGGCTCTCCATGCACGAGAGTACACCTTGAACATCATTTCCCCAGGTTGAGTGAAAACAAGTTTGGAGTATATCCTTCGCAGTGAGGATTTCTCCCTCTCTGAGATGCAGTTTTCCTAATTCAATATTACAGTATATCTTTGCAGAGATTACATCGAAATATCCATATTTGTGGGCATCGAATAGTGCCATTGCTTTGTCAAGGTTGGACAAGACATCTTGTCTTGATGCACCAATTATGATGTCAAGTTGCGCAATGTTAAGGAGAGCCCAGGCATAGTTATATGGGTCTTGAGTAGCAGAATCTCGGGCAAGTTGCATGTGGATATTGCGGGCCTCCACATATTCTGATTTCAGGATCTGGGCTTCTGCCAGGTCTTGCAAAAGAGCTCTATATTCAGCCCCAGTAGTTGTACCACAAAGCTCCAGTAGCTTTTGTGCCCTCTGACAGAGAAAGATGGTATTTTGAGTGTCACCACAGCTTTGGTAACATAAGGCTGAAGTGCGGAGGGCTCTTCCTTGTGTATGTAAATATCCTGCTAGCTCAGCAAGTCTGTGTGAAGCTTGGGCATGCAACTGTGCTGCAGGATAATCACCGAGGAACCATTTTATTGAACCCAGATGATTCAATACTGAGGCCTCTTGCTTCATGTCTCCATGAGATTTTGCTAAATTAAGTGCCTTGTGCAAATATTTCAGGGCCACAGAAAATTTCCTTTCAGCATGGAAGTAGTAAAGTCCCACGTGAAGGTAAAATCTGGCTATGATTAATTTGATTAGTACACTACTGGGTGACACTATGGAGCAGACTCACATTCAAGGACCGGATCATCCAGGGCACGAAAATGGGAGATGGCCACTGTAATCAACATATCTGCATCAGTAGAAATAGATGGGCCACTTGACTCAAATTTCCATATGATGAGCTGTGCCTTGCTTTTTTCATCGCTATTCCCAGGAAGAACAGCTTCAACTCCCTTGATCCATTAACATAGGAATCAGGTGATAATACCCAGGATGACCAGTTTGCATGAAAACTTTCATAGAAAGAGTGCAATCAATAGTTTCTCCCAAGTTTGGGTTATCCTGGTTCAACCCGCAGAGCAGTAATTCACTCATATTTCGAACATTCAGTGCTAGGTGCTTGACCATTCCAGCCCCCTGCTGAGTTCCAGAATATTTCTTGTGCAGATCCAAGAGCTGATGAAAGTACTTTTGCAGTGGGCAAATTAGAAGTGGGGAAGGAGGATAGAAACACTGCATGTGTTCTCGGATAGGCACCAGTGACTTCAATCGCCCCTTGTCATCAATATATGCCAGAGAAGTAGCAAGTAGTGTAGCCTTGCATGTCATGATGTCCTGGATGGAGAGCTTGCTCTGGACAAGCTCAACATTGGTCAGACCATCTGGAAGGATTGAGAGAAGACTCAATAGGTTCTTGGCACCAGTGGTCATGCGGGGGCTTGAAATTGAAATTGAAATTGATGTGTCCACATTAGATGTTCTGTCATAGCCAGCCCAAAGTAGGGAAGTTTTCTCCGACTTCCAACGAGCCAGGACAGTAGAACAGCTCCCTTCATTGTCCACAGCATGGGCTATAAGATCAACAGCAAGTGGCATGTTATCTGTCAATGCAAGAACTTCATCAACATCCTTGCTGTCATGCACATCCTCTGCAATGGCAAAAAATGTCTCTCGAGCAGCAACATCTGACAAGGGCTCCAAGGGTGCCAGGAATGGGTGAGTCCACTGGACTTTGGCTGGCCGTTCTGCACCTCTCATCGTGATCTATCAGGATGTCAACATATTTCCAAGCTTGAACAGATCTGGAGACTTGCCATGAGTGCCAGATGTGGGACATCGGTCAGTTTGGACAAGAGCTCTTCAACCTCTCCCCGTGACTCGAGGGGCTCCCATGAAGTTTCCAGATTATCAAGAATGAGCAAGGAAGGCCCAATTGTAGCAAAGTGGTGTAAAACTTGTTTTGTGACATCCTTGGCTGGTTTGACTCCTATGTGTTCCCCAATGAGGACTGCCAGTCCAATACTGGTGGTAACAGAGTCTGCAACTACAAAGAAGCACTGCTCATATTTGGATATGATGTCCGGGTGGTGGAGGGCAGCCTTGGCAAGGGATGTTTTGCCCATTCCACCTGCACCTAAAATGGCTATTCTTGGCATATCCTGGTGGAGGATTTCAACAATCTCCTGGAGTTCAGTTTCACGGCCATGGAAGATCTTTGGGTTGGCTGGCAACATTGAGATGGAGTTTGAACTTGAACAGGTGAAATTTAGTCTGAATCAACAACCAGAAACGAAAACAGTACCTATTCTGGGATCCACTGGTCTTGTAGATCTGTGAACCAGATGAAAAACAGCTTTTGGCAAGGATGAGAAAGTCCATACAGAGGAAGACCTGTCAGAAGTTGTCCCATCTGACCAGGTTGAAATCAACTCAAGCACTGCTTTGTGCATAATCTCTGCCTCTTCCTGCATCTGAGTAATGTGACTAAGCACAGTGATGTTAGTTTCAGTCTACATGAGGTTTGAGTCCCATGCCATCCATCATGGAGCAAAAAGGTTCACCTTGAACATGGCCAAAGCCTGCTGCAGTCCCACTTGACATTCTCTGTGAAGTGTCTTTGTCTCAGTCTGGCGAAAGAAAGACTTGATCTTGCTTCCATCCTGCTGTGCCTCCACAAATATATGAATCTTGTGAAGTGTTCTAATAAACTGTCAATTATACTCTCAGCAAGTAGCATCATACATACTCCATCAATTTCCCGACATGGTCCAAAGTTGCTGGAGGAAGATTCCCCTTGGTTTCAGACTTGATATGGAGATTGACAAGAGCACAAAGCAGTTGATAAACATTTTCCAGGAGTTGAATGCAGTCTTCTCTATTCTTCTTGACATTCTATGCCATATGAGCACTCATAGCCAACTGTAAAGGACATATGTTACCTGCACTGCAGTAATCAAGGAGAGAGTGGTGTTTGCAATGGCCGGCACAAATGGAGTACCAAATGCATCACTGAGCTCGTTGAGGAGGGTAATGACCGGGGCCAAACAGATGATGGTGTTATTCAGACAGATATCTGCAACAGTGGGGTGGGGGGACATCTTGGGAATGGTGGAGTAAGAACTCGAGAGATGGGGCTCTTATATGTGAGCATGGCAAGGCAGTGCCCTTGACACATATCATGTTAATCAAATAGTTGTTAGGATTTAGCAATTTACGAGCATAAGGCAGTAATAGAATTACTAAAGCTGTGAGTGATGTTTTTGGAATGTTAGTTGGTTAGTTGTTAGTTGTTAGTTGTTAGTTGTTAGAGCATATCTGAGTGATAGCAGATAGCAAAGTTCGTTAATTCTCAATGTGAGTGACTCAAACTTAAATCAGTCAAACAGGAACACTACAATTGTGACCTTGTGTCTCAGTGGGCTCTGCGCTTAACAAGAGATTACACAAGGTGGATAACTTCCTATAGGCTATGATGGGCTAGGTAGTTACTTCAAGTCGGCTATAGGCCAGTTGGCTAGCTTATTCGAGAGGTAGTTGTAGATGCTATGTGATGGATTGAAGTAAAGATGTGGAGCCATCACATGAGGATAAGCTCTCATCATATACTAAGTGGATATACTAAAGAGTCGCAGCAAATGTTCTAGAATATTCCGAGGAGTCCAGGAAGATTCTCAAAACATCTCACAAGTGCTGTGTAAGTAGTCTCGTTACCAGCCTGCCTATGAATGGCAAAAATGTGGCAAGCACTTTGCCGTAGGCAGACTGGTACAACTCGGGACAAACAGTTGACGCGCGCGGGGAGTTTGAAATTTTGGGTGGTGCCGATCGCGGCCGATCACAGGATCATCAAATCCCCATCATTTCTCAACTAACTTTGGCCATTCATAACATTCATACCAGGCTCTTTGAGCATAAATTGAGGAGACAGAATTCAAGTAATACCTTCTGAGAGAAAATCATCTGTTGTGACTTTTACTATCCGAGCTCATTTGAAGCCAGAGCAAGGGCCATCAGAAATTTTCAAACTCCTCGCGCGCCTCGTTTGTTTGGCCTGAGTTGTACCAGTCTGCCTACGGCAACGTGCTCGCCACATTTGTTGCTCTTCGTAGGCAGACTGCGTTACGAGTCTACTGTGTAAGTACAGAATTGTCTACATACAATGGCCATGCACTGAGCCATAAGGGCTTAGCACTTACAGCTTCTTGCGGAACATAGGGGGCTCAATTTTTTCTGTTTTGAGATGTTTTTGATCCCCGCGACGAGGATGGCCGCCGTGGCCGCAATTTGTACTTTATACGTACAAAAATTGTATGGCTCGAATTGCAGCGTGATTCTGCAGGGCATGGCCTCCTCACATTTTGTGTAGTACCACTGTAATAGACCAGATTGAATATTTTGGTGTTTTCAACGAGATCTTCTGCTGCATGAGAGAATCCCCTCCAAATATTTAGTGGAGTCCTTTTTCGTAGCTTCATACTCATCTGGAGGGCACCAGGCCCACATAATACAATTCACGGACATACGGCGTGTACACAATGTGATTCCATCCCAAAATAACTGTTTACCAGTTGCAGCACAGAATAGCCAGCTTTTGCTGCTCGCTGCATCTGAAACCATTCAGTCTTGCTGTGCACACATTAGTGCATGCACTGGAGGGAACTGCTGACTCACATTTGCGGTATGTGCCCTAGTTCGACGACACGACACACCCCCATTTTGTGATCACGGGGTGTTATTGAGAGTGCTTGCCACATTTTTTTGCCACTCATAGGCAGACTGGTAATGAGTCTAGATACGGGTAGTCTCTCTAGACAGACACTTGATTGGTTTCTAACTCGTTCCTCGTTCCAATCATAACGTACGGGATTTTGTTTCATTTTCAGCTTGCTTCACATACGTGAAAATCGGCCATACGAATCATCTGACCCCCGGAGTCTTGCCTTCCCAATGCATGCATCATGGCTCAATTCAACCTTATATCGACATTCTTCAACTTGAATTTATTTTTTACTTCTCTTCTAACTCATTCCTCGTGCCAATGCACCCCAAAAATGCCAGGCGCAGCGAACCGTAACGGAGTAAGCCTGAGATGGCCTACCCCGTGCCTTTCATATTAACTTATAGACTGCCTTAAAAAAATCGTGGTGGTCAGGAAACGGCTCGAGCCTGGTTCGAACAGGCGTCCCCTGCTGGCTATTGTCTTTACACGTATGACGACATACAAGAAGCAGGTATGGACCATCCACCACCGAGCCTTGACTACCCTAAATCACGCTCCAATTTACCCCGCATTTCCTCGATAGTTCAACAAGGGCAAAAATAGTCAGATTCAATCCCTAATAGCTCGGGCCTGAATCGAAAAGGCATCTCCTGCAGGATAAAATATGCACTTGCGATAACGAGCAGGTGTGGACTATCCACTACCGAGTCTTGTCTATCCCTGCTTATAGTTGAATTTACCTCGCATTTTCTTGATAGTTCAAGCAGTCAAAAAAAGGTTCCCTTTACGACACATGGCTCGGGCCTGGTTCGAATAGGCTCCTCCTGCTGGCTAACATTTTTGTTCACAATCACGTAAAGAGAGCAGACGTGGACCATCCACCACCAAGCCTCTCATACCCTAGTTCGCAGTTCAATTTATCCGTATCTCAGCAATTCAAAAAAGTAAAGAAAATGGTCGCCTTCAACAAATGGCTCGGGCCTGATTCGAACAGGCTCCTCCTGCTGGCTAATGTGGCCGAAAGAAGATCTCACAAGATGCAGATGTGGACCATCCACCACCGAGCCTTACCTCCCCCTGCTTACAGTTGAATTTACCCGCATTTCCTTGGGAGTTCAAGTAGGGGTAAAAATGGTCGCCTTCAACAAATGGCTCGAGCCTGATTCGAACAGGCCTCTCTTGCCGGCTAATGTTGTTGAAGACAAGTTTCTACAAAAAAGCAGGTGTGGACCATCCACCACCGAGCCTTGCCTACCTCTGCTTACAGTTTAATTTGCCCGCATCTCCTCGGCAATTCAAGCCGTCAAAAAACTTGACTTAACTCCACCACGGCTCGGGCCTGAGTCGAACAGGTGTCCTGCTGACATCCTTGATGACAGAAAGAGAAAAGGTAGGTGTGGACCATACACCACCGAGCCTTTCTTACCTCTCTTCACAGCTCAGTTTACCCCGCATTTTCCCCCCACCGTGGACCGTAAGAAGATTCCCCTTCGCCTTTTACTTACGGCTCTGGCCTGGTTCAAACAGGCTCCTCCTGCCGGCACTCCTATGCTGGTGGAATGTATAAGAAGCAGGTGTGGACCATCCAACACCGAGTCTTTCCTACCCTTATTCACGGTTGAATTTATCCTGCTTCCCCTTGAAAATTCAGCTAGTCAAAAATGAAAGTCATCCGATGCATAGCTCGGGCCTGATTCGAACAGGCTCCTCCTGCTTGGTAAGATTCTTGATCTTGCTTTGCGTACAGAGAGCAGACGTGGACCATCCACCACCGAGCCTTACCTACCTCGACTCACAGTTCGTTTTATCCCCTATCTCCTCGAGTTCAAAGAGAGAGAGAAAATGAATGTATTGAAGATATGGTTCGGGCCTATTCGAACAGGCAGTTCCTGCTGGCTAATGCTGCCAGACTTATTTCAGACAAGAAGCAGGTGTGGACCATCCACCACCGAGCCTTTCCTTCCCTGGTTGATGGTTCAATTTACCACAGCTGCTCGCAGTTGAAAAATGTAAAAGAAAATGATCACCATCAACACATCGATAATGGCTCGGGCCTGATTCGAACAGGCTCCTCCTGCTGGCTAACTGTTTTTTTCGCACCGTATAAAGAGAGAAGATGTGGACAATCCACCACCGAGCCCTGCCTATCCCAATTCACGCCTCAATTGATCCTGCATTTCTTCGGAAATTCGACTAGTCAAAACTTTGACTTCAAGCCATGACTCGGGCCTGATTCGAACAGGCTCCTCCTGCTAACTGTTTTTTCGCACCGTATAAAGAGAGCAGATGTGGACCATCCACCACCGAACCTTACCTACCCCGATTCACGGGTCAATTTACCTGACATTTCTTCGGCAATTCAACTAGTCAAAAAAGGTCGTTGTCAATCACAAATGGCTCGGACCTGATCCGAACAGGCACCTCCTGCTGACTTCTTTCAACAACATGGCGTAATAACAAGCAGACATGGACCATCCACCACCGAGCCTTCTCTACTCCTGCTCGTGGGTCAATTTACCCCTCATCTCTTCGGCAATTCAACAGGTCAAAAAATGGATACCTGGATGGAATGGCTCGGGCAGCCTGATTCGAACAGGCATCTCCTGCAGGCGAAAATATGCACTTGTCATAACAAGCAGGTTTGGGCCATCCACCACCGAGCCTTGCTCACCCCACTTTGTGTGTCAATTTACCTTGGATCTCTTCGGCAGTTGAAAAATGTAAAAGAAAATGGATGGCTTTAACAAATGGCTCGGGCCTGAATCGAACAGGCTCCTCCTGCCGCAGGCAGGTACCTGGTTTACAGGAAAGAAGTGTGGACCATCCACCACCGAGCCTTCCCTACCTTAGCTCACCATTTAATTTAACCTGCATTTATTCGGAAATTCAAAGAACTAAAAACAAATCGACGGTCATCACATGGCTCAGGCCTGATTCGAACAGGCTTCTCCTGCTAGCTAACATTTCTAATCCTCCTTCGCATATAGAGAGCAGGTGTGAACCATCCACCACCAAGCCTTGCCCACCCTGGTTCATGTTTCAACTTACCCCACATCTCCTCGGGAGTTCAACGCGTCAACAATGGATCAGATCCGATGAATGGCTCGGACCTGATTCGAACAGGCTGTTCCTGCTGACTTTGTTCATTTTCATTTTGAAGCATGAGAATCAGGTGTCGACCATCTACCACCAAGCTTTGCATACCCCGATTCATGGTTCAATTTACCCTGCATTTCCTCAGCAGTTCAACACATCAAAATGAAAGGCATCCGCTGAATGACTCGGGCCTGGTTTCGAACAGGCGTCTCCTGCAGGCCAAAATATGTACTTGTCACAACGAGCAGGTGTGGACCACCGACCTTACCTACCCCGCTCCACACGTCAATAAGACATGTTTTCGGAAATTCAAAGAGGCAAAAAGGTGATGCTCGCTCAACTTATGAATGAGTGAGGGAATAAAAATGTCCCGAGCTATTCGAACAATCCCTGTATGCGATCTTACTGAAGTTTAGAGTTGAACTTGAGGTGAACATAAGAAGTCGGAAAATGCCGGATTGCGGCACAGGTCTCGGCGTGATGCCGAGTCGGCCGATCAGATCGATCAAGACCTTGTTTCTTGCCACCACCTTGTTCAAAACTGTACCTTGCTGAGAGAGCATGTCTGGCCTCGGATGCCTGTCTACTCTCAATTCCGTACTTTGGCTCAAGACTGACTCTATCCAGCCGGTGGGAATATTCTGACAACGGCGCGATCTGGTCATGAGATATCCGGGGGATATCGAGTCTAGGGATTCACGGAAGTTCATATAAAAGGATGTTAAGGACCGGAATAAAAGGTCAGAATTCTCTGAGTCCTTCTCCGTCATTCTACATCCATCCCTCAGAAAGAATGTTCATGTCAAGCCCTCGACTCCTTGTGACTCTCGGAGCCATCGTAATGGCTGGCCCAGTGGCAGAGCGAGCTTTCCCAGTTTCCGTTTCCCGGTAAACCCATACATAGTTGTACACACTCAGCCATGCACTGCAAATTTTCGCCAAAATGCGCCCGGAAAATCAAATTTTCGCGTCCTCCGCCGCCGGCACCAGTAATACTATGATATGCCGGCGCGGCAGCGCCCCTTTTGGGTCGCAGTAAGGCCCATTTTCACTGGTTTACCATCCGAACTCGGTGAGTTTGGCAAAATTCTGGCTCAAAAAGCCACTTGGCGGACAAGCCTTCACATTTTTTGGCCTCAAAAAGCCACTCTATTCAGACAAGGAAATCTAATTTTCGCCCTCAAAAAGGCACTTTTGAAGGAAGAGAATCTGTTGGTGGAGCTTCACGGGGCTCGTCTGAGCAATATTGAAAACTTGTATGTCTCCACCACTAGGTGTTGCAAGGTCGGAAAGTACTCCCGTTTCAACCAAGTTCGAACCCAACGGATGATGAGTTCAGCTTCCAATATTATGTATAAGGTGTACAACACCATTATGAAGCTACTTCAGAGACTCTAGATGCATTGTAGTGCAAACTGAATTTGAATCACATATGATGATAAAATATATGCTTTGCATACCGTGGGAAATGCCGGCCAATGCCGCAACAATGCCGCGTCATTTTCTCCTGTCACACGCGTTACTTCCAAGTTCCTCTTTCGGACATTGACCCCGGGCCACATCCACGTTCCAGTAGATAGTCGTACACGCGGTAACTAGCAGGCAGTCTCCCCTTGTGCTTAGCTCTCGTGCTATCCACCCAGTTTCACCCCCGCCGAGCCGTTCGACCGTCATCAAGCCGATCCGAGCCCGCAAGACGGTACGACGCTACAACGCATTAAACATCTTTTCCTTTGCCCTTGAATTTTGCTGCATCTTGCTCGCCATGGCCGCCAGTTCTGCGCCAAACGATAGCTTTCCGCCTCACCCCTATCTACACTCCCCATCTTTTTTCATCGGCCCTCCGAGTCTACCGAGTCATGTCTCGGAAGAGAATATAAGAGAAATATTCAAAGACCCCCAGCTTCGCGCAACCTTCAGTGTCAGCCGCAGCAAGAACCGGCGCAAGCGCGGCGCCCGCCGGCCTCAGGTCGACTTTCCGGACCTCAACTCAGGCACAGCGATTCTCGCGCCTTTTGAAAATGCTGCTGAATGTATTTTTTTACAGCCGAAAGGGCGCTGGCGCTGCTGAACCTCCGACCGATACCCACCATTGAACCCCCTGTCGTCCTCACCTTTTCCGCCACCGCAAATTTCAAACCACTCCCAGCGCCCGACCCCTCCGTTTCGCCCAGACTAATAAAAGTACTACCAGCCGGATGTACCGAGGCGATGCTCTACGACGCACTGCGGCCGTATGGACCCCTCTACTCTGTGCGTATAGACCCCATCGCTGGCGGCCTAGTGCAGTTTTGGACCGAAGAGAACGCCCAAGACGCTGAAATCTGCCTTTTGGTGGCCGAGCCCAAAATGGTGCTCAAGGCGTACGACCCATGCGCTTTGTTCTGTTCTGTAAGCGCCCTGAGCCACGTCTGCGAGGAAATCACTTTAAACTTGCCACAGAATATAAGTTTCGATCTTAATACAGCCGCTCTACGAACCTATTTCGCCGAGGTAAGCGCTCCAGTGCTGATGTTGGAAATTCGCGGCTCATCCGGGTCAGTACGGCACAATCATCAGGCAGGCTTTCCGTATAATTACCCTCGTCCTTCAGCTCTGTGTTAAATTTCCTCTAGCACCGAGATCATCACTAGTCCTCAAACTGGAAAGAGTCGAGGCATCGGTTTCATCACATTCGCACTTGCATCTGAAGGTAAGCAGAGGACAGACGAATCAAACAATCCACTCCAGGTGCTCATCTGTTTTATGGTGCAGCATCCACGGCTTTGGCGGCGATGCATGGCGCCGAAATTCAATGGGAGACCCTTTCGGTAACGTATCGGGTGCTTGAAAAGAGGAGTGATTATAGACGGGGCGCGAACGTCGAGCCACACCGGCGTGACATTCCTGAAGAGCCGAAGCGACCAACACCCTCGGAACCCGCACCACCACCTGCACCCGTGCCGGAACCAGCAGCCCCGCCGGAACCCGCCCCCTCGCCGGAACCCGCACCCCCGCCAGAACCCGCACTCCCGCCGAAACCCACACCCTCGCCGAAACCCGCACCCCCAAAGCCGAAGGTCGAAACGAAAAACGAGGCCTTCAACCAAAATACCTCCCAACTAAACAGCGAGTTCGAAGCTCTGCAGGTGCTCTATGCCGCAGAGGTAGAAGCCCGGACAGCGGCGGAGGCCGAGAATGTGCGCTTGCGCGGCGAATTGGATAGCGCGAACCGCGCGCTGGAGATGGCGGAGAGCAGGCTGAAGATCCTGCAGCTCGAGGCGGACCGCCCGCTCTGGGAACAGGCGAAGAAGAAGCGTGAGGAGGACGAGAAGGCGGAGCGCGCGAGGGAGGAGGAGCGCCGCCGGGCCGCAGAGCTCGAGGAGTCGCGCCGGAAGATGCGGGAGCTCCAAGCGCAGGAGAAGGAGCGCAAGCGCGCGGCGGAGGCAGAGCGCTTGCGGCGCGAGGCGGAGGAGAAGGCGCGCCGGGAGAAAGAGGAGCAGGAGCGCAAAGCGCGCGAGAAGGCGGAGCGCGATCGCAAGGAGAAAGAGGCCCGCGAAAAACGGGAGCGCGAGAGCCGATGGAGGGCCGCGACACAAGCGGAGGAAGCGCGGTGCGAGAAGCGAGACGAGCAGCTGTGGGGTGCCGGCGCGTGGATGCCTACTCGCGCGCTGGAGCGTCTGAGAATCCAGATGGACGAATTCGACAGGATTAAGTTCTCCGAGGCGCAGCCGCTGACGTTTCGCGCCATCCCGTGGCCGATTCTCACCGACCCGCTTGACATGGACGTCGAGCAGATTGAGTGGAATACAGTCGAAGCATTCTTTGCGCGTGCCCAGACGCAGATGGCGGCGAACATCGCGGAGTACAACAGCCTCGTCGAGCGCGTGCATCGAATGTTCCACCCGGACAAATGGAAGGCGCGGGGCGTGCTCCTGTCGGTGATGGACGAAGAGCTGAGGGTCTCATTGGAGATGGCGGGGAACGTTGTCGCGCAGGCCATGACACCGCTGTGGAGGAAGTCCAAGGGGTATACTTGATTTACATAAACCAGTCGCGAATAAACAGTCATTCACGCCAGAGATGCTGTCGATGCGCTTCGGTGGGGGCTCGAGGCGTCCTCGGACCAGTAATTGGCGTGAATATTAATTGCATCTGCCAATGCCATATAGTACATGGTGTCCTTATAAACAACGTTAATATTAACGTCCGATGCCCAGCAGCCATCGCTCACCTGGATTAAACGGGT